GTCGCTAGTGCTCGCCATAGTAGGAAAGAAAAAGCTCTTACTTTTTCCTTGGAAATGCACGCTTCAAACAGAACAGTCAATGAAGACGAAGAAGAGGATGATGTGTTCTCCCGCTCCCTATTTATACTATAGTCGCACTGGTAGTGACGTCATGGCTGTCGCCGGCCAACGTGTTGTTGGTGTTTTTTCAGTGTATGCTTCAGACACGGGTCACGACGAGGCGTTCCCCATAGCGACCCCTAGAGGACGCAGTTCGAAGTTCCCATGAAAGGTAACTGATTTTCTTTCTATGTAGATTTTATATTCATAAATGTACATTTTCGAACTGTAAACCTATTTTTGTAGCATTCTTACAAGAGATAAAACATTATTTACTTACTATTTCATTCTCACTTAACAAAAAAGCTCTCAAAACATGTACAGTTTGCACAGCCTACAAACTCTTTACTGTATTTAATGTGTAATTTTTATTAATTTGTGTAATGCCCTCTTATTTCCTTTTCTTTTTTCCCCTTTGTCTTTTTTTTTTTTGTTACGGTCTCTTTCTGCTTTGAACTATGGTACTGATTGTTGTTGTTGTTGTTGTTTTTTATTCTATTGATGTTATTCTTAATTGTTGTTATGTTTTAATTTTGTTGTTCCATAATGTAAACTAAATGTTCAAATAAAGCATAAAAAAAAGTTCAAACCACTAATGATCTAACAGCCATTGCAACCTCCTGCTGTAACTTCTGCAATTTTTGTGTTCCATCCGAAAATATATAGTCAGTGAGTAAGCAATTTGTGCAAACATGGAGAAAATTTAATGAGATTATTTATTTGTTCTCTCACCGTGAAAGTTTTTTATTATTATTTTTTTTTTTATAGAATTTTATGGAAAGTTCAGTTTGTTGCAACATGGGAAAAGCAATGCAGTAAGAATATTTTAAATTATTAATTCATTTAATAGGAACACTTTTGAAACAAAACAGAGGGTCTCTAAACAAGCTCATAACACAAGTTCCCATTCTCCTTAGAAAATCGACATAATTAATTACTTGTTTGAACAAAAATACAATCATGTAATGATACTCTCAGTGCAGGCCTGTGGGGTTACAGTCACAGATGTTGTCTTCTTGAAAATGAGTTTACACTTGCAGTTTCCTCAATTAACAACTTAAAGTTCACATTAAAACCAGACTGTTGCCAAAACAATACCCGTTTTAAAATAACCTCCACACACACACACACATGCATGATTTCTCTCAAAATTTCAAGTGTACAGAGTCCAGTGTATTTATTGTCAGATTATATGCAGTAATCTGTTTAAAATTATTACAGCTTTCATGAAATAGAAATAGAGTACCAGTATCAATAACAGGTGCACACAAGCATACACACACACACAGAGGCTGTATACTGGTATAGGGAGCTATGGATATTTGTGTGGGCAGAACACAGCCTATGTTCTTTTTCTCCTCCTCCTCGCTCCATTTCTTTATCCTCCATCTCGCTCTCGCTCGGTTGCTCTCTCTTTGGGTTTTATTTCTCTTTGGGTCTAAAGTACAACCTCTGTGAGAAGTGTTTAAGTGTTCTTACAGTGAGTACCTTTATAGCACAAAATGGCTGATGTTATAAGATCATAAAATAGACATAACCTTCATCTAGAAAATCTCGTTAACAAGATGGAGCTCAATTTAACCACACATAACGATTAACCACACAAAATGAGTAGCTTACAGTTGTAGGATTGAGTACTGCTGGATAGTTTTTTTTTTGGTGGGGTCAGATTACTGGATGAGTCAAGTGGATGAATCAATATGGAAACCACACAGCAAAATGTCCAGAAACAGAACAAATTTTCTCTGTATAACAAGTCTGCAGGAACTGCATTAAAAGGTAAAACTATTCATACATGTCTTGTGCTGTATATTTTAAAATGTAATGTTGTAATCTTTCAAATTGTTAGACCACTGTGAAATGCAGCAATGCTAGACATTTTGAAATATACAAGGGCCCACTGAATGAATCCCATTTATATAGTAACACTCAGTCCTGCACAGTGATTCTGACAGTGTTTAAATGCCTCAGGCCTAAACTTCAATTACAGTTTATCTGGTAAAGTGTTTACTTTCACATCTTCAACAGTTTCATGTATATTGTTAAATATTTTTTACAACTATTGTAATGTTTTTATTTGACCTCAATATTTTACAAGCAGCAGACCTATTTTTAGTACAGAATCATCAAAAGGCACCTTACTACTGTTCATTACCGAATGCATTTTAAACCTGATGTACCAGTTTGAACTCATATTTGTTCAGTCTTGTTTATCCGCGCATAGTACAGTTTAGCTGAGCAGCAGCATAGTATGTGATAATGTTTGTTTTTAGTGCCGTGCCAGCTTGTATGCCAAAAATTCACAGATATTTTGGTAGAGATTGCTTTTTTAAATATCAAAATTATACACTGCAACTATATGAGAAATAAAATATGTCTGGTCATATTGTCACAGCCCCAGTGTATCAAGAAAAAACTAGCAATATACTGCAGTAATGTACATGGTACGGGACAGATAAAGGCCTGACACCTGGTGGTCATAATTTCAAATTACAATGAACACTTGAGATGATGCGTGTTGATTTTGCAGGCAGATCAGACACTAACAAGCTCTTCACACCCAACCTTTTAGGTTGAACAAATTAAATAAATAAATAATAATAATAATTCAAATTATTCATAAAGATGGTGTAAAACAGAAAATAAGACAGGAGACATTGTTGCATCTGCAAATTTTGTATTTTGCTTCATTCTAACTCTACTTTAGATAAGACAGAAAAAGCAAGAGGTTCAGAGCATAGATACATACAGAGCCAGACCCATGCACAGATACAAATCAACCCAAGCCGCATGGTGATTACCAAAATGCACTGGAAATATAAAAATACGTCCTCCATATTTACAACCAACATTTATCATCAGTCATATGTACAAAGGGCAAAAAGGGCAGAGATACAGGTAATACCAGCAACAATTACATTTAAAGCATAAACTCCATCGTCAGACTAGGCATTAGATTCAATTCCAGAACACTCAGATATTCTGGAGTTCCAGGGTTGAGACTAATTTTCTGTGAACATTATGTGCAGTGAAGTCATAAAGTTTCCATTTATCGTCTTAGAAATATACAAATCAACACAATGTTTTTCCAGTTCACTATTATTATTACACTACAGAAATACATATCGATGGGTGAGACGACTATAACAGAGGCGATGACGAGGACCGCTCTGTCACTAAAGTTAAAGCTCTTTAAAACTATGGTGAATTCAGTTTTACACTGATAATAGGATGTTATCTACAGTTTTTCATTGTGTTATGGCACATATACCACAGAGTAGGCCTAATTTATAAAAACTGACAGTGACAGATTCCTTTGTGACAACCACTTTCATTACTATAATTTAATTAGAGCGGAAAAATGCATTAAAATACTATCAGTGGTTATCTCTAGCTGTACAATAAAAAATAATATTGTGGCTGTAGCATCAGAGGACATCATTAAAAATTATTTAACAAAAAAAAAACTGAAAATCAAAACCAAAAGATTTTATGATTAACAAATTGTTTCTGAACAGTGTCATCTATCTCATAACAAAGATTTCTCTGCTTTAAGAAGAAAAAAAAGACTTGTAAAGCATATTTACACAACTGCACTATCAAGTCCCAGATATTTGCGGTGAATTTTACAGTGGTCAAACAGTTCGCTCATGAACAGAGTCTAGACGAACATTAAAAAGAAGCATTCCATAATCAGAAAAATGTGTTTAAATAACATTAATTTTTTTAAGAGGTTCACTTTTCTTAATGGGAATAACTGTTTGTTTTCACTTTGTATGCATTATAGCCAATGTTTTTTAATGGATTCATGTGGATTGTGCAGAATTCTTCAGAGATTGAACATGGTTAAACACACACAGGATTTGATCGTCCCTGTTCATTTTTCTCTATATATACAAAACTTTCTTTACACAGAAATAAAGATAACAGAAAAAACTGTTTAACAGTTATGACAACAAGATCATGTAAACTTTACATCATCTTTCACTTAAAAAAAACACAATAACTTTCATATTTTTTTTGTGCATAAAATAAATATGCTCTTTTTTGGATGCTGCAAATACTAGAATATATTATGGATAAAATTTGTAATTCAGTACAAAAGCCTCTGCCTTTTAAAAGTAGAAAACAAAAATAAAATGCATTAATAAAAGTAGAGTAAAAGAGGTTTAAGGGAAAACTATGCGGTTAGGAGCTTTTTAAATATGACTACATGAAAAAGAATGTGAAGGCACTTAAATCAATTAGTTTTCCTAGTGCAAAACAAGTGCAATCCAGCTTAAATTTATTAGGGAGAAACAAGCCAAGATGGCAGAGGAAGAAAATCCTGTCAAAGCAAGCTTTGCAAAACCGTAAAGTACGTCAGGCACCTGTGATTACACCTTCTGGAAAACATTCAGAGATTTAAAAAGAAGTCATAATGAGAAAAAAGAAGTTCTTTGGGGTTTAAGTAGGGATATGTAGTAAATGGACAGTCTCATGGCATTTGAAGAAAATCAAAACAAAACACACATGAACTTTCCCTCCCACACCCTGTGTGTGAAGTGTTTAGTGAATTTAGAGCTGCAGGCTCACATCCATCTAAAACAGAGCAGCATCTACAACCGCCCACATCCTCTATTCTCTCTCTTAGTCCTTAAACTCAGTGCTTGCTGGTAAAGGGGAGTTTCGGTGTATGGATGGACCCATTTCTCTTCTCACAGTTCTGGGGCTGAATGTCATTGGAATGCATGTCAAGTGGGTTGGATCGTGGTCATGAGGCTTGTTGGTTTGTCAGGGTGGGGTCAGGACACTCAGGGTCTGTAACAGCAAGGGTCGAGGGCCGAGTAGTGCAGGATCATCGGACGTCAGTGGAGGCCTGTGTGATGAGGCAGCTCCACCCAGAGGGGTTAGAAATATTCAGCTCCTCCCTCAGAATCCCGCTTTCTGAGAGAAAAAGAGACAATTATTATTTATTATTCACAATATACACTGCTTTTTAATGTTTTTAAGTCTCCTATGTTCATCAAGGCTGCATTTATTTAATCAAAAATAGAGTACAACTGTAATATTGTGCCTTCGATAGCTCAGCTGGTAGAGCGGAGGACTGTAGGTAGGAGTGTTGGCAATCCTTAGTCGTGGCCTAATGGTTAGAGAGTCGGTCTCGTAACCCAAAGGTTGCGGGTTCGAGTCTCGTACCGGGATTGTAGGTGGGGGGAGTGAATGTACAGCGCTCTCTCCCACCTTCAATACCACGACTGAGGTGCCCTTGAGCAAGGAATGTACAGCGCTCTCTTCCACCTTCAATACCACGACTGAGGTGTCCTTGAGCAAGGCACCGAACCCCCAACTGCTCCCCGGGCGCAGCAGCAAAAAAGGGCTGTTCACGGTGTGTGTGTGTTCACTGCTGTGTGTGTGCACTTTGGAAGGGATAAATGCAGAGCACTAATTCCGAGTATGGCTCACCATACTTGGCCACATGTCACGTCACTTTCACTTTCACTTGTGAAATTTAAAATAACTGCTTGATATTTTAATATATTTTAAAATGCAGTTTATTCCTGTGATGGCAAAGCTGAATTTTGAGCAGCCTTTACTTCAGTCTTCAGTGTCACATGATCCTTCAGAAATAATTCTTATGTTATGATTTGGAGCTCAAGAAATATTTCTTATTATCAATGTTGAAAACAGCTGTGCTGAAAGTTTGAAAGAACAGCATTTTTTTTTTTATATATGTACTGTATATATACATATTTAAACTATGTACAAGTCTTTACTGTCACTTTTGAACAATTTAACATGTCCTTGCTCTCACAAAAAATCTTAGTGACGCCAAACTTTTAAACAGTAGTTTTAATCTGTACCATATTAATTATCAGTCAATACTGAGTTATGATACCTGTACAATAAAAAAACACAAAAACTTTCTCCATCATCTAACATGTTAGGTTAATCTTTAAAAACTTTAAAAATGAAATAACACTTTAATGTAATCTTTAGCAAATCTCAAAATTAATATAAATTTTTCATACTGTACTGTACATTATTTTATGATGCCTAAATTGTTTAAATTGTAGCATTTAAAACCATTTACTTATTTTTTTGTGTCTATTTTTAATGTATATAGACAAAAGTGTAAAATTCGAACGCCAGCTACTTATCAGTTATCTGCCATAACTCAGCTTATCTATATCACCAGATTTTTTATATCAGTGCATCTTTAATAATTAAGATGCCACAAACTAACCCTGAATGGATTAAAAGTACTGTCAAATTGTGTCTCACCTCGAGTGGTAGTGTGGTTCTGGGGGACGGAGTGGGGCCGCGGACGTGTTGCTGTAGCTTGCAGGCTCTGGCTGGGCCTGGCTCAAGTACCTGCTCACAAGAGCAGAATGATCCTGCTCATGGCTGTCTTTCAGGTCCTGTACATGTCGCGGCACCCCCTCCATCCTCTCCACACTCAGCACGCGCCCGTGGCCGTCCTCCACTGGGGCACCCTCGTCATAGAAGAGCAGGCTGCGGGAGCGGACTACACACACAGAGAACAGCGTTACTTATGTCATATGTCTTGCATGATATGCTTATTTTGACTTTCATGTGATTTGTAGAGTGAAGAGAAGCGTTTTTGGATTCAGAGAGTGGGAGAAAGAAAGAGCAAGATTTGGAGTGAGCTACTCTCTTAGGCGGTTACTACAGCAACCCCGTCGCCATCATCCACGGCCCGAGTCTGTAGGGTCCTTGTGAAAATGGATGAGGCATTTGAAGCCCCTTTCAAGCACAGCTTTGATAGAGCCGAAAGAAATGAGGCTCGGTTTGTGTTGTAAAGTTGAAAGAGGGTTGTAAAATCTGCTCAAAGGGAAGTAATGGGATGTCTGACAGTAATTTGAGGGTGAGAATGGGCACTGTCGGCCCAGGAGCTCCGTTAATAACCTTTAGAAGAGAGACGGCACTCTTTCAGTCTCTCGTGGGGGGAACGAAATAAGTGCTGTCAAGGACACACAGCTATTAGCTGCCTGGATAATTCAATGTGTCTGAAAGCCGGATGACCTACAAATAAATGCTTCTTTGCGCATGTGTAGAGAAATGTAATCATATCATGCAATGTACATGAAAAGTTGATCTCGGTTTACACTTTAGGGGCAGGGATGAAACATACCCTGGCTGGTGGTGTAGAGGTCACCTGAGGCCAGCGGTGCAGACTTCACCGTGTGTGAGGATGATGAGGATAAGGAGGAAGAGTAGAGGGAGAGCTCGGGCAGGCAGGGAGCCAGCGAGCCCAGCACCAACACAAAACACAGCGCCACCACCTGGCCAGGAGGAGGAACCACACACACGGTGAGCACACCGCCCCACTGTAATCTACTTGCACTACAGCTCTCAGAGCAGAACTGACCTGCCTTTACATTCAAGGATCAAAGCACTAAACTAAATAGACAAGATATTTCATTGGAATAGTTCAAACAAAAATGAAAATGTACTCAGCCTCGGGCCAGTCAAGATGTAGATGAGTTTGTTTCCTCATCAGAACAGATTTGGAAAAATTTTAAATTACACCACTTGCTCACCAATGGATCCTCTGCAGTGAATGGGTGCCGTCAGAATCAAAACAGCTGATAAAAACATCACAATAATCCACAAGTAATCCACACGACTCAACTCCATTAATTAACATCTTGTGAAGCGATAAGCTGCACGTTTGTAAGAAACAAATTCATTATTAAGGTGAAACTTTAAATTGTTGCTTCTGGTCAAAATCCGTAATAATGCTTCTTCCAATGAAAAAGTCATTACCCTGTTGTCCTCTTACATTAAAATCCACTAACATATTTGTTTAGAAGAGTTTTGGACTTGTAAATGACACTTGATCTGTGCATATTTCTCCACTGATTCAGATAACGTTTTCACTGGAGAAAGCAATATTATGGATAGAGGTATATTGTAGCTGGAAGCAACAGTTCCCTGTTGAAAAAAACAGCATATGCTGGTTAGGTCTGTTTTGAAGCATGGCTTCTGGTTTGAGCTGGTTGACCTGGTTTCAGCTGGTCCTTAGCTGGTCCTAGCTCCTGGTCAGGACCAACTTAGGACCAGCACATGACCACCTTAAACCAGCTCATAACCAGTTTAACCAGCTCAAACCAGCAGCCATGCTTCAAAACATACCTAACCAGCATATGCTGTTTTTTTTTAATAGGGTTTGAAGTTAAAAAATGATTTAATAATGATTTGTTTCTTACAAAATGCAGCTCTTCTCTTCACAAGATGTTAATTGATGGACTGGAATCATGTTGTGGATTATTGTAATGCTTTAATCAGCTGTTTGGACTTTCATTCTGATGGCACCCATTCGCTGAGCAAGTGATGTATTGCTACATTTCTCCAAGTCTGTTCTGATGAAGAAACAAACTCGTCTTGGACGGCCTGAAGTACATATTAAGCAAATTTTAATTTTTGGATGAACTATTCCTTTAAGACTTTAAGACAAAGAAACACTAAGAAAGTGTGTGTGTGAATACGAGCAGGTTGAAATAAATGCATGTGTTTGTACAGTATATGTGTGTATATATACCATTAGACAGGTTCCGGTCTGCGTGGAGGCGATTTTGCAGGACCGAGGCACTTTTCCACTCACTAGAGCCTGAAGTCTTTGTAGCTGTTGTAGTAGAGACCTAAAGATGATACAGAAAACACATCAAAAAAGAAGACTGATTAGTAAATTCTTTAGATCAGGCTGTAGGCAGCATATTTGTCTGCAGGCTATGTGTGTTCTTCTCTGAGCCGTTTTGTAACAGCAGGATCTCCTTATTCTTAAGCTCAGAGAGCATATGAGGATAATACACTTCTTACTCGCCACAGTGTTACATAAACTGAACTCCCCTTCACACCACTCACACAGTCTCTCGCTCTCCACCTCCTCCTCAACGCTGCTGCATGCGTGCAGTGGGTGTTAATTTATTTCCCCTTCAATTATGTCGTTCTTCAGCCACCAATCAAACATACGCTTCTTCTCTTGCTCTCTCACACACTTATTAATGTGACCCAAAACAACACAAAGTCAAACACAACTGCAACACTTATAGCCACAGGATCTGTGAGTATGATATAATGGCATTCTACACACTATTTTTGCGGTATGTATGTAGTATGTATGGAATACTTGGATGACCTAGTACAAAAATGTGCGTTACACAAGTACAGTAGAGCAAACTGCGTGAGAAAACGCGTTCAACCTGGTCTTCCATTTTCAGTGTCATGAATGAACTGGAATTCAAATCAGCCCCACACTTTTCTCATTCTTGACTGATTATATGATCACAATTGTACACAAAAGGACACAAGAAATGTATAATGACTCTATTTCAGAGTTGATAACCAAACTGATAAACATTTATATTCCCCACAGTATACAGTACATAAGCAGTAGCCTGTGAACCTGTGTTTGTGCATGTAATCTCAGCAGCAGACTTTCTCAGAAGAAATGATTCAGTTATAATACAAAACGACATTGAGCTCCCTCTAGTGGAGTAACTAAGAAGCAACATCACATGCAGTAATAATGAGTAACACCACCACCACCAGAGAGAGCCATTGCAACATGTTGGAAAACAAATCAAAACAAAAAATACTACTTTGCTATTTCATGATTTAGCAGACTCTTTTATCCAAAGCAACATACAGTACACTTATAACAGAGACAGTCCCTCTGGACACCTGGGGTTAAGTGCTTTTCAACTTGACTAGATCACCCCAAAACAAACCTGTATATTAGTTTTCACCTAAACATACACATACAGAATCACTCATAATGAGTGCTGTAGACTAGTCTAGCTCTAGACAGTATGTTTTCAGCATTGAGAGGGGCTCAGACCGCCCTACTAACCTAGCAATAATCATCTCAATTTGATTGTATAAACAGTGGTTTTCCTCAGGTTAATATACAACCCACCCACTAACACACAAACACAAACTCCCCCCTGCTGTCTCTTTGAATTCTCTTAGATAACTCAGAAGGCTCTATCCTAATAAGAATCGGCAGAGCGCCAACACACACAGTCTCTTTATCCTGTAATGAGGGGCAGGCCGGCACCGTGCTGCGTGCTACTTTAAGTGTGTTGTTAATAAGGGGCCTGTGCCAGTCCTCTATAAAAAGCATTACTATATACTTACACACATACTTATGTCACTCTTACCTACATACTAAAAGCACTGATGACAGTAGCGTGCTACAATAAAGCTTCAAAGCCTAAAACAATGGTGAAATATAAACAGCGCAAAAGTTCAGGGTCAGTAAGATTTCTTTGTATGTTTTTGAAAGATGCTTTTTATTATTCTCACCAAAGCTGGATACATTTGATCATAACAGTAATACTGTAAAATATTACTATAGTTTAAAATAACTATTCTATTTTAATATATTGGCAAATGTAATTTATTCCTGTGATGGCAAAGCTGAATTTTCAGCCACCATTACTCTAATCTTCAATGTACATAATTCTTCAGAAATCATTATAATATGTTAAAGGAGCTCAAGAAACATTTCCTATTATAATTTCAATGTTGAAAACAGTTGTGCTGCTTAATATTTTTGTGGAAACCAGGATACATGTTTTTTTTTGTATTCTTGATAAATAGAAAGTTTAAAACAGCTGTTATTTGTAATATACATATTTTGTAATATCATAAATGTCTTTAACTATCACTTTTGATCAAAGTAATGCACCCTAATTTTTTAATTCTTTCTTAATTTCTTTAAAAAAAAAACTTTTAAATGAAAGTATACTTTCTTGCATGTTTTTGATAGCCCAGAAATTTAAATTCTAAACATTTCCAAACCTGTATGGCTTACTCCAAAAAAAAACCCCCCAAAAAAACACATTCTTTCGACAAAAGAGAGAAACTCATACAGGTTTGGAACGACATGATGATAATTAAATGATAAGAATTAAACGACTGAATTTTCATTTTAGGTGAACTACCCCTTTAAGAGCTGTTCTTTAAAATAAGGTTTTAGAGTTAATCCACAGAAAAAGAGCTGACTGTGATAACACACAATGGTGCTCTCTCTTTCTGTCTCTCTAAACAGTAGGAACAGACAGCACCCTGTCGACAGCGCCTATGTTCTAACTAGGCCACCCAGGAGAGAATGAAAAGGTGCTGCTCTATATGATCGGAAGGGGAGGTTAAGAACTGCATGCATCTGGTCCGACTTCAACACCTGCTGACTGCGAAGAGGCTGCTGCGTACGCTTACCGCAAATATGGTTACAATTAAATTTATTAAAATTCACCTATAAAGTATTCACTGTGATTAAACACAAGCACACATATGGTATCTCACCTGTTGGCATTCTCGAGCGTCTCTACTTTTTTCCACAGTTCATTGTTCTCTGAAGTATAGTTCTCAACTCTGAGGAGGAGAGAGAAAGTGTGTTATTGTACACGATCACAATGACAGATTGAAACACATCAATAAATCGCTTCCATACGTATAACCATACATAACCCTGTCAGCTTGACTGATTAAAGCATGGTGGAAAAAACAGTGTATGTGTGTGTCCAGTGTGAGTCCAGTCTCTCCAGCACATTATCCAAACCCTGAGAGCCTAACAGCAGCATAAAAGGGAAAATGACTCATGCAAATGCACACACACCCCAATGAGTGCATGGACTGTAGCCATTGGCCGCATTCACACAACAAAAGCCATAAAATAGCAAGCAGGATATAGAGTATTTTGCAGGGAGTGAGAGAGAAGAGAGGATTAAAGAAGAGGAGGTCAATGAAGAGAAAGAAGGATGAAGGCACCAAGAAAACATAGAGGACAGTGGATGCTAGACAAACAATGCAAGAGGAGGGGAAGAGAAAATAAGAGCAGGAGAGAAAAGAAGAGCCGTCAGAAAGGGAGAGAGGGAATAGAAGAGGTAGAGAACAAAGGAGTAGAGTAGGGGAGGCAATTACCTTTTCTCCAAACACTCCACGTATTCCTTCTTCTTCCTGCGGCTTTCCTGTGCAGAGATCTAAGAGAAAAAAAATGCATCTACTTTAGCATTGAAGTATTATGTCTATATACTATGTGACCCTGGACCACAAAACCAGTCTTAAGTCGCTGGGGTATATTTGTAGCAATGGCCAAAAATACATTGTATGGGTCAAAATTATTGATTTTTCTTTTATGCCAAAAATCATTAGGATATTAAGTAAAGATCATGTTCCATGAAGATATTTTGTAAATTTCCTACTGTAAATATATTAAAACTTAATTTTTGATTAGTAATATGCATTGCTAAGAACTTCATTTGGACAACTTTAAAGGCGATTTTCTCATTTTTTTTAAATTTGTTTGCACCCTCAGATTACAGATTTTCAAATAGTTGTATCTCGGCCAAATATTGTTCTATCCTAACAAACCATACACCAATGGAAAGCTTATTTATTCAGCTTTCAGATGATGTATAAATCTCAATTTTGAAAAACTGACCCTTATGACTGGTTTTGTGGTCCAGGGTCACATGATATGTATATGCACCAATATCATATAAGAGGAGGATTCTAACTGAACTTATTCAATATTAATAGTGTGATCATAAGTAATACCTTGTTTTTGATTTTCCTGCGCACTCGTTTGAGGGCTTTCTCCTCAGTTTTGGTGAGCGGTAGTTTGTTGGGGACAGGATATCCCTCAGCGATCAAAGTCCTCTTCTCTTCCTCTGTCAGCATCAAAGGGCCTGATGTTCCCTGCAGCTTCTGCATTACAACACAAGTCAGCGATTTTCACTCTGTATAGATGTGTTCAATATGTATGGATATAAGAATTTCCATTTGGACTGTATATACTGTAATGAACGTGGTGTGTCACATGCTGAAACTGCGTTTGACTCACATGCGGGGCGGTGAGGAGAGGGGACGAGGAGATGGCTGTGGAGGTTCGGGCCTGTAGCCGGGCAGGGCTGGATGGAGGCAGTGAATGTGGGCTCTGTAGGTGGCCAGGGCTTAATGGTGGCAGTGAATGTGGGCTCTGGGATCCGTCGCTGTCGCTGCCATGGCTGCTGGGAGGAGTGGGCGGCAACCGCAGATGCTCATCTATTGGGAAAACAAAGATACGAGACACACTTGAAACACCTGTGACTCGTTCATTTGTGACATTCACATCTTCATGATCAGGTTTGATTCCGTATATATGTTACACAAACACGGCGACCCATCAAAACAGAGTTAAAATGGGTTTTTGAGCAAAGCCAGGCCAAAGTGTCAAACTGAAATTCAGTCTATTCACCTGTCATCAGGAAAAGCCAATAAAGCCTAATCCGTTGGAAGCTTTTAGGCATTTCGCACACAGCACATGCATGAACAATGCTTCTAAGTGTGGTGAGTGTTGGACTCATCATGTGTTTGGTCTGGCCATGTTCCATTATATACACAGAACTGCTTTAATGCTGTTGTTTCTGGATGAACAGAATGAAAGGACGTCATATTGCCAGACAGACAGCGCACACACAACACTTGCAAGTGCTATAGGTTGCTTGCCATTAGCAGATTTTCATCCAAAATGACATGTGGTGTACTGAGGAGACAGTCACACTGGAGAAACGTAGGGTTATTTGTCTTTTCTCAGCAACACAATGGTGGTGACTTGAGAGCCGGTGACTTAACTTAAAACCTAAAAATAGTCTAGAACCAACATCAAACACTAATGGCTATTAAATGCAGGGACTGTATATGTCTGCGGTACATACACAGAGATCTAACTTATCAATATCATGACCATCCAGTTACTTTACTTATCAAAAGTTTGGTCAGTCACCAGTCAAAAAAATGTTCTTTTGCACTGCCTATTCATCAAAGAATCCTGAAAACATGTGTTGCTGTTTCCACAAACATATCAAGCAGCACAACTATTTTTAACATAATAACAAGAAATGTTTGTTGAGCACCAAATCAGCATATTAGAATGATTTCTGAAGGATCATGTGACACTGAAGACTGGAGTAATGGCTGCCGATTTGTTTTTTCAGCAAAAAAAGTACGTTTTAAAATACATTAAAACAGAAAACATTTTAAATTGTAATCTCTAATCTTTAATGTTTCAAAATATTATCAATTTACTGTATTTTTGATCAAATAAAATGCATCCTTGATGAGCATAAGTGAATAAATAAAAAATAAAAAAACTGACCACAATATGCAAACAATTCACTCTACACAACGGGCTAAAATGCAATTCTCAGAGGTTACATCAGACTTGGTTTTCATCAATGGGCCATTCAGAAAGGGCTAAAGTTGAGAGCTGAGAGATTGTCAAACACATGCAAAAGTTAAATAAAGAAACACTCACACGAAGCCTCATTTCCTCTGGAAAAGGAACACACCATTAGAGTATTTATAACCCTGAACTGACCGTAGAGCGAGGGAGCAGAATAAAAGTGGGCTAATTTGCTTAGTTTTGCCATCTTTAAACTAGTGTGGAAGATCTGCACTGGCCATATGTGGCAACTAAGTGCTATATGTTGAGTACATTAGCTTGTTGTTGTGTATCTAAAGTAGCGGGCTAAATTTAGAGGACAGTCATGGTTAAAAGACTGAATTGCTGTGCCTTCATTGCTGGGCCCCAGCATAGGTTGCTGGAATGCTACTGTCACTACTAGGCATGTTAACTAGCTAAACCAGCAAGACTCACTTGGTCAAACTGTTTCATCACAAAGACCATGCTGTTTAAGAGCAGGACTGAAGAGAGATTTCACACCCACCTGAGGGCACACTGAGGAACTGGTTCACCTCTCTGGGCTCTGCTTTGATGGCAGGAACGGAGTTGGACCTCAGGCCTTTGGAACTCTAACACAACAAAAACAAAGAGCAAAACAATCAACATGATGACATCAAAATTTAATGCACTTTCCTGGTCTTACACAATTAATCTGTGTATGTTTTTGCTATACTATATTTTAATATTTAATCAAAATTTTCTCACTACTAAAATGACTTTCTTGTTCTGTTGATAAAGTCAGGTATCACCCTACATTTTTTTATCATTAATATCCTGTTTCACTCAAAAATATGGCACAAGAAGAAAGTAAAATTAAATTCTCATTCATTACAATATGCAACAGATGCTTATTCACTAAAGTATTTGTGAAATAAGCATCTTGTGTTTTCTCAATGCAAGTTGCAGCAATATATGTGGCACAGAGACATCATTCAGCTTTATGAGAGCCATTTCTGATGGTACTCAACTGTTAGGGTACTGGACTAAATGTGCTCCATGCTGGATGTCTGAGACAGTAAACACAGCTGAAGGCAGACTCAAACTGTTTACACTGACAGAGCAAAGGCTACCCGCTTGCTAACCACACACAGTCTGGCCAGCGACCAACCATCATGCACAAAGTGAGGTGACATGAGCCTCAGATCAGAGGGGCTGTTGTACCATTCACTTTTCTTCATACCTCCCTCTTATTATTTTCTGGGTCAGTGGACGGTATTCCCCACCAACTTGAGCTGGTAAAGGCCTTTGTACAAAGAGACTAAAATACTGTACTGTAAAAATAGCAGAGGTGTGCTATTAGCTGGAAAAAGTTGTCAGGTTATATTATAACTTGCAAAGCCATGACACTTTACTGCCATTTTAAGGGTTTCTACATTATGAAAGCATTCTTAAGTGTATTTAGAGACTGAACACTACCTACACAGAATCAGACGAGCAAGAGTGTTGTTGATATGCTATTGATGTTTAGTACAACAGTGCGACTGTGATATTGCTAGTTGCTAGTTGACATAGATAAACAGATTTTAGACACAACAGTACCATTCACCATGTACACTTTTTTTACATATCATATGGGTGTGTATTGTGTATATTTATTTTGTATATATGAATAGGCACACACATGCATGTATATATTTAAGAAAAATTCTATATTTTTATATTAAATATTTATTTATAATATAAATTATATATAAATATAAATAAACATAAATATTTTTTCAAATAGATACATGTATGTGACTGCATTTATATATACATAATAAACAAGCACAGTACACACACATCTATCATGTAAACACAACCCTTTATTTTGGATGCGATTAATCGTTTGACAGCTGTACTCTTTTTCTGTGTTACCTGCACTCAGATATCCCTGTTTATTTGTCAGCAAAAGTCTGCCAGATTATGCAAAATGCAACTTTTGCTGAAAACAAATTGGGATATCTGGGTGCAGGTAATATTTAGAAAGAGTACACACTGTTCATTTACATATACTACCAACATAGTAACAATACAAAGCTGGGTAAAAATAAGCAAACTTAACCTTTATTGAATTAGTTGAGTCAATGATTCAATGACTCACTCATAAAAACAATCGCTTGATAAGTTCCATTATGAATCAGTGTTTTAAAATTTGATTCTGTCAATGATTCAATGAACTGCTCATAAAGTGTCCAAATATGCCTAATAAATAGCAGGCTAAGAGCAGCATGTGTAAAGAGTTGTATGTATGAATTTATAGAATTCATAAAAAAGCAGACATAAAGTACCCAGCTGGTCTACTGCTTCTATAGGGATTCGAAAGTGCAAATCACAAGATGTCACATGAGATAAGCTGTAAATGGCAGTGAAGCAGCACGACTATACTGTAAGTCACACGACACTGACAATTTTGGGATGTAGTATGTCCGGATTGCATTCATACTACACACATTCTTACAATAAAGAATTTTTTTTAATAATCCAATGTAGTACCTCCAGTACCAGTATGTGCACTGTGCACTTGTTGCTACAAACTGGTGTAATGATTTAACATGCAGAGAGAGTCACTGAAAAATCTCTACAACTATACAGCCTGTCAGCCTCAAATCCGAGGACTGGAACTGATTCATAAAAACTGTAAATACACAAAAACTGAATCTTTCAAAAGTGTCTATAAAACATATTTCAAATAGCCTTCCTCCCCTTCTAGTCCAGCTTCATTAAAATTAAACTACAGCAAAATCAGGTCATATTCTGTTTTAGTTGGACCAATAACTTGGACTAATTCAACATTTCAAGGTGGCCTCAAAAGGTTCCAAAGCACTGCCTGAAGATTATGTAATATATGCAGATTATGAATTATAGTTATTATGGTGCTCCATGTCTTAACTCCATGTTATTTATGGTTTGTGTTTATCTGGTGAGAGCTGCTCTTCCTGTGGCACACGGTCACAGTGTCTCTATGAGGATGCTCTCCAGTACAGCTGCACACTGACAATACAGCAGAACCCAGTGGGATGTCAGAACAACTTTACACCATGTGCGTGTCTTGCTGCCCTTCTTAAATAAAGGACATGTGCTTATATAACCCCATCCATCCTGAATGTTATTTCATCTAGCCAAGTTATTCTTGACAGCACTTCTCATTTGTTAACTTCTAGCAAAAATGTTCAAGCCCTTGTTCAGTGTGTTTGCTTATTTTGTTGACAGGTATCTTCACACAGCACAATCGGGCTCCCCGGAGAGGGCAGAGTTTATGGGAGCTGGCGGAAAGTCTGGCCTGAGTTAGTGTCAAGTCAGGGAGAAGAGAACAGTTCCATGGCTCTGATGCTCAAAGAGAGTCCGGTGCCAGATTCGAGAACTAAAGAACTAATCTAATCTAATCTCAGCTCAACACTGATGCTGCTGGAGCCGATTCCCATGCTTCAGTAAGTTCAACTCCTCACACTCGCACTCATACTGCGAACATGTTCACTGGGCAGAGAAGTGGAGCAAGCTGCCAGCTGAGCAAAAGAGCACATGAAGCACGTGTGCACATGTTTTTCATTGTCATACTAATACAATGGTCCCTCTGGTGTGCAGTGTGTGTAAGGTTCACCATCATTAGCTCGCTTACATCGGTTGATATCCACTCTAAAATAACATCCCAGATAGCAAGAACGTTTGGGCCAAATGTGGCTTAATTTAAAAGGCACTCATGTCTTGGGTGGTAGAAAAGAATGTGTGCAGTGCTGATTTACACTCCTTTATGTGCTTGTCTTGAAATAATATCTAATGTATGATACTAATTATGATATACTAATGTTCTTTTTTCTTTTCTTTTTCCTGACAGAATGAGTGAGAGACTGGTGAGACTTACTAAAAGTATCAACTTCTTTTATGTTCTGTATTGTAATTCTGTTATTAAAATTCTACTATAAACATTTAAAAAAATGAGTGTGAATCCATTTTTGTGTTTAAGATTTACTGTGTAATGGGTATTTTAAATAAAAAAAAATAGGTGTGGTGTAAATATGGTTAAATAATGGCATTTGGTTTATCAGCCACATGTGGGCCACATAAGGGCCTTCAGCCCTTTACAGAACTCAGCCATATAAGAATACCATATAAGGTCCATATATCAGCCACATCTGTTTTTATTATTTGGCTCACTCTGGGTTGGGTTATGGCAGTGTTTAGGTTCAGTTCTGGCTAAAAATATGTGGACCAGTTTTGGGCCGGCGAACACAAACTAATCTGGGCCACACTTTAGCTGTTGATATGGGCCAGATCCGCGCCAAAGGAAATTTGCTGACTGGGATTTACCTGACTAATAAAACAAGTATTTCACTCTAACGTCGGTTTTCAAGATTTCATTTTTACCTTCTCCCCTGTGTGGTTTCTCTGTGGCGGAGGGGCAAGAGTGAGGGGATGTGAGCAGGTGCTGGTGTTGGCCAGAGGGGGCGATGTATCAGGGCAGTTTTCTGACATCAGGCTGGGCTCCTGCTTCACTAGAATGGCTGTGAGATCCTGACTGAATGACCACATCCCTTCTGAGTCTAAGGAAAGAAATAACAGGCTCAAACAAACAGAAAACAGAGAAAAAGGACTGACAGTTACATTTTAAAAGTTTTGTTAAAAATGCTTTGGGGAGTGACACATGGAATGATAACTATTAAGTCTCTCAAAAGACTCAATCAATCAGACGTTAAAAACAGAGAGAGCTACTGAATAAAACAGAATGCAGGTTTCTCAAAGCACAATTTAAACAGTCGAACTCGACAGCTGACATGCATGTTTACATAGATTAACAAATTGAAAAATAAATTAACATTGGAAAATATAACCACAAGTCCTGTGGACAGTAGGCCACAGATAAGCTTATGTCAAATGAAATGAAAACAACAAAACAATCAATATACTTTTTACTGTCTATTCAGTGCTTCAGATTATTCACAGTTTTTCATGTGCTTTTTTAAATCTATTTAATCAGCATACCAATTAGAAAATACATTTTAATCCATTGACAGCCAAAAAATAAATATATTAATAAATCACTGTGTATCAGACAATATTCAGTAATGTAATGCATCTGTGTGCTTTTTTTATTTTTATTTTTTTTTAAAGGGCCTTATTGGCAAATATCATGCAGGATGTTAACACCATGGAGGACATTGCAATCAATGAGTGATATTTCCAAGAAAGTGACAAATTTCACACTCCAGACCCCATGGAGGGGGTTTCATACAGATGCAGGTGAGGAAGACAGACTCGATTAATGACCGGAAGGGTAAAGCAATCCAGCTTCTCTTTATACTGTTAACACAAAAGCCTATATGGTCTGGGAGGGGAAGGTGAGAGATTGGGGGCATGTAGGGTGGCTAGAGAACAGCTCGACATGTCTGGACGCTTCAAAGAGAAGGAAAGCACTGCATATAGTGGGAGCCCTCGTTATCACATCGCCCTCGGTAGCATTCGTGTGCAGGCTCCACTGCAGAATCGATAAAACTTTATGCGGCCTTGTAAAAGAAGGATGGCAGGTTTTTCATGTTAGTCCTCTGTTAGGGAAGGACATCAGCAGGAGTTTGATTACAACAGGAGAGCAAAGCTCTTTAGGAGTTCTGCTGTTCGGTGGAGAGCGCTGGATTTTATACTTCATAGCTCTCAGTCTGTGGGGAACCTCTGTAAAAGTGCCTAACCCTTCAGTTTAGTACACCAGATTAGGCCATAAGAGTCTGTCCTTCACCAGGGTGCACTAAAGCAAACATACTCTCATGCACAGCCTCTATTGTGAATAAAGGATTAGTCGTCTTTTCAGCTTTTTCAAACATGATTAGACCAAAAGTACACTTTCTGAAGGTCGGATCTGGTAGATCAGAGGGGTTATCTCTGTCTCTCGGATCTATAAGGAGCCTCTCATTCTAACTGCCTATCTCTCTATTTATTAAATCAAAATGAAGTTATGGACATCCCTGATGAACCAAACCAGCACTGACCAGTATAAACCAACATGGAAAATCTGGCCGGTCTTGCAATATAAACATTTTGGTAACACTTTAGTATAGGGACCAATTCTCATTATTAATTAACTGCTGCTTATTAGCATGCATATTATTAACATATTGGCTGTTTATTAGTACTTATATAGCACATATTCTGCATGACCATATTCTACATCCCTAATCTTACCCAATACCTAAACTTAACAACTACCTTACTAACTATTGCTAAGCAGCAAATTAGGAGTTTACTGAGGCAAAAGTCATAGTTGATGGTTTGTTAATAGTGAGAATTGTAGCTTAAAATAATGTGTGACCAACATTTTTAATATTTGGATCCAAAAATGTCAGTAGGATTGATATAGACTTTCACTTTAAGTTTAACATGCACTATAAAAGTTTGCTTTCAGTCTGACTAAAGCAGTAATTCATCTTTTTAAAACGTCCTGTAAAATGTGACTGAAATTGTACAAAGTCAGACTAACAGATCTAGATAATGTCACAGTAGGTCAGCTTCGTTCAGCACGAATACATGGTAATCAGACTACAACTGGCCTTTGTGTTGTGTGCTTGTTCTGAAAGACTGAGGTGACACACATTATACTGTGTCATGTACTCGGACAGATAGATGAAGACAAGGCAAAAACCTGCTGCAACTTGATTATAATTGCACATTTAAACGTACTTCTCTCTGTTTCTCCATGTGGTAGCTTAAATGTTGCTTAGAGCTGATGTTACTCAATAATGGACAAAAGTTGTTTTAATTTTACATGCAAAAGTCCCTCCTTATACTCTACAGAAGTTACTGGGTCCTGCCCACAGGGCACTGCAAGGCTTTGATGTCTCTCAGGACAGCAGGTATCATAGCGGGGTGACTCCAGGCCGGCGGAGACGGAAAAGCGATGCTCATTAGCAGGTTTAAAGTTACTGCAGAGCAACAGGAGACAAAGTAGTGAACCAGCCAGCGCTTACTTTAACTGCCCCCTAAAGCCGCTCACAGTCTTTATAGGGGCAGGTTTATGGATCAGAGGGGATATCACACATAACTGAAACACCTGAACTCACTGTGGCCATCTAATAGACTGTCAGAAAAAAAAGAGCAAAAACTATACTTTTAAGGGTACAACAGCTTGTCACTGCAGTACCTTTAAAAGGACATATCAGTAACCTATTTACCTCTAAAAGGTACATAGTAGTGTACCTTAATGGTACATATGGCAGGGTATAGATGGCTGAAATATGTTTAAAATGTTTGCCATGAGGCCTGAAAATTGTATAATTAAATTTACTGTCAATAAGTTCATTGTCAATTCAACTATTATTTCCTGCATTTTACTATTCATTTTATGTTAATTTTTTAACAAATCACACCTTGTTAATATGCACCTTTTAGATTGTACCCCTAAAGCACACCTGCCACTGTAACCCGAAATGTTCACATTTTTCTGTAAATTCAGTTCTTTGAGCTAGAAAGCACAGAGAGAGAAAGAAACAATGGCACGAATGTGTTCTGAAAGACCTTCATTTTGGATGCTCAGGGCACTATAGTCTGGCTAAATGGATCGAGAAATCCTGTAGTACCTTCATGCTTCTTTAAGGATTTGTTGATTTAAAGCCTGACTGGAAAGAAGCTGCAGTCTGCACACACACTCCTTGCATAGTCAACCTAAGTTCAGGATGATGCAACTCTCTGAGCCACCCCCACCAAATTCTCCATCTAAAGCTGGAAACCAGACCCCTTTTATTTTATGGATGTCTACAGTTCCCTGGACTGATCGTGGCGTGTGTGAGAAAGAGAGAGAGACCGAGAGACAGACGGATGAACTGACAGAATGAGTGAGTGAGTATGAGTGTTGGCTATCTTCCTGGAATTCCCAGCTTCCAATGGAAGACTGAGCTCTTGGCTAGAGCTTTGTCAAGGAACCCTGTGCTGCACGGGTGCTCCGGGAGATAAGGAGGAGAGACGAAAAAGAAAGGGACTTTATAGAAAAACAGAGCTGCTGATAGATGATGCTTTGAACTTTGGCGTTTAGCAGGATTGTAAAATCTTCTGATAATCTAACACAGAGAGCTGATTTTCTGATTGGATGGATGACATGTAAGACGAGGAATGAATAGAGCTGCTTGCTAACCTGTATCATCATCTGATTTGATGGGCATAGAGGGACTCTGTGGGGCAGAATCCCCGCTGAGAGAGTAGCTGTGTTCTGCCTGGATGTCAGGGTTTGGAGGGTCCAGATCCATATCCAACAATGGGTTCCTCTCCGCCAACAGATGATCATCAAAGAAACTGTTGAAAAGGTCATTGGAGAAATCCTCCATCTGCTCGGAGAAATGCTGGGAAGAGAGCACAAAGACAATATTTAATTCAGGAATAAATGACATTTTCCAGCATATTAAAATATGAAACAGTTATTTTAAAGGGTAATAATATATTGACAAAATTACTGTATTTTTGATCAAACAAATGGAGCCTTGGTGAGCATAAGAGACTTTTAAAAACACCTTACCAAATGTCAACTTTTGAAGCGTATCTAACCATAATGCATGAACAAATAATAATTTGGCTGAATTCATCCCACTCCCTGATCATGTTATTATAAGCAAAGATCAACTCAAATAACATCTTGAGATGCTAATTTGATATACAGCCTCTTTTCAAATGATCATTTAAATAGCCACAACTGAAATTCAGAGGAACACTGATAAACCCCTTCTGTTATTTAGCCTAAGGTGCATGTGTCTGAAAAGCAGATTTAAAAAAAGAGACATGCATTCTTCTATGCATGAGTGTGTTTAGAATGCATGTCGTCATTTTGCGAATGAAGGATGTGTGTGTACGTCTCTGCTGTGGAGGTATGCGAATGTGTGTTTGCTGAGCCAGGGTGTGACAAAGGTGTGAGAGGACCTGATCGTGTTTACATCCTGGTGAACGGGGACAGGTGTGTGAATGACACACCTGTAGCGCAATGAGCATATAAACCAGCCGCTATGCACATATCACACATAAGGACACGTGCACACATCCAGACTCCCAGCACCTGTATGAGTTCCCACACAAACCCCTAACCACTGCAAGACCTCTGTGAAGAGGGGACTGGGAAAGCAGTGCTGTTATGAATGTTTACTCTGGCTGTCCCTACTCAACCAAACAGAGCTTCCAAAACAAAATCTGGTCAAACTTGTTGCTCACCATATGGATGCATAAGCAGAGGAGCAGGAAACAAACCCTGCAATGGCAGTTATCCATATTGTTTGATGAATGACATCCTGGGAACACCCTGATGATCGAGTTTGTGAAGTGACGCAGCTCTCCTGCCGTCAGTGCCGGGCTAATCACCACGGTTGAGCATGGCAGTATAAACCTTAAAACTTTAGTTTCACCCTAAAACTTTGAAGTTTGTTCAGTGTTCCAGCTCCTGGATGTGTGGGGTGGATATATTTACAGACTTGATTAATCTGGCCTGAAGTTGCTATTTCAGAACTCTGAGCTGCATATGCTTGCAGGCTGCATGTGTGTTTTAATTTGCATAGTAGTGCTTTGACATTTTTGTCAAGTAATCCATTAGCCTAATGCAAAATGCAAATATAAATGATGCCTATTATGAATGAGCTTCGATGGAAACCTGCATTCACGTATGCAACTTCCCTGTCTGTGTAGTCCCGTGTACATTTGTTATCAGAGCAGACAGTCAGAATGCTTCTCTAATCAGCTTTATCTCTCTGTAGTGCTCTTTCCTGTTTTGACAAGTGTCAGTTAAGAGTTTCTTATGTGGTGTCTGTCTGGTTTTCGGTTGACCTTGCAAGGGCCAATGGTAATGATGCAATGCTGGGGTGCTGATGCAAGAGTCCTGAAATTCCACATCTGGAAGGCTCCTCAGAGGAAGAATTCCAGAAGAGCTTGGAAGAACTGGAAGAGTGTCTCTGTCATTAGGGTCAAATTTTAGGAGAAATGAAAACAAGTAATGTCTCAGGCTTACAGGTAAACCTTTATAAAAAAGTAGAATAATGACATTAACAGGATAGTTCACCCAAAAATGTAAATTCTGTCATCATTTGTTCACCTTCAAGTTGTTCCAAACCTGTCTGAATGAATTTCTTTCAGCTCTTGGAAAATAATACTACTGTTAACTTTTTGGTTACCAACAGTTCAGCAGAAGAAAGAAACTCCAATACAGGTTTGGAACAAACAGAGGGTGAGTAGATGATGACAAAAATTTCATTTTTAGATGAACTATACCTTTAATAAGATGATTTTTCTCACATTAAAATGCAGACTGAAGGAACATGGTACTTTGTGTTACATTTGCTGTTCAAAGTGGCACTGGTGGTCAAAATCAGTGATCAGGTGGGTATTCAAGCAGCCTTATTGGATCAGACAGACCCTTCAGACCCTGCTCACGTGTATCATACTAAAGTACACTATGCATTTATGTTGACATTTCACAATGATTACTGCAGCTGGGGCTTTTGAGCTAATTTCTGCGACATCCGTGTCTTAGTCTTGCGTAACAAAACACACGGAATGATTTTTATCTATGTTGTATTGAGTACAACAAGGAAGAGAGACTCCTATTTCTGCATTTTATAATTGGAAGAAGTCCTCCAACAGTACTACAGCTTCAAAAGGCATTGAAACAAGAAGCACATACCAACAGGAATCTCATTTCTTTCTATGCTCTCACATATCAAAGAGAAAAGACAAGTGCATGTAATCAGAATATATATATATATATATATATATATATATATATTATATACACTGTATATTAATTCTTAATATACTTTTTCAGCTTAGCCAATACTGTCATTTAAAATATTTCTGGTTTGTCACTTGGGCACTCTTCCTAAAATGTTAAAAAATGGACCGCAGCAGTGCAAAGCATGTGTGCGCAGGCTGAGCAATGCCCTATTTTTCCATCTGATCCATTTTCTTGAAGTAACGTTTGGGTCATGTCCGGGTCTAAGCGGGCTGGTAAACTGCACGACTGCTCGACTCATCGCATTCCATTCCCTTATTCCAGACCTCCAGCTGCACTCCAGCCAATCAGAGCTCAGTATGCAAATGAGGAGAGGGGAGCATGTCATTTTGGAGCTGGAGTGCAGGGTGCGCACGGAGCAGCTCGGTGCACAAGAAAATAACGCATTAGTCTTTGGAAAAATAAATATGCTGATAAAAAATCATTCAGCAGCAGTGGAATTGGGAATACAGCCAAACCCACAATGTTTGGGAATATATGTGCCTCTCGCTGAGTTATTTCTGAGAACAATGAGTCACAACGAAAAGATTCGTTCTTATGAGTGGCAAAAAAGAGAGAGAAGGAGAGAAGTTCTTGAACTGAAGATGGAGTTTGCAGATGTTTAGTGTTTACACTAGTCGATGTGTGATGCAATTAAAAATATGGTTCCCTCATGTGAGGCATGAACATCAGCTTCAGCCACAGCATGATCTGATCAGTTTTATTTATTTACATATCTAAATATTTAGAGCTTTCTCTTCCAAGAAGCATGCATGAACTATTCTAACTCATCTGCACTAGATCTGACATTTTTTACCTAAATATTAGGGATATTCACGTGTGAATGTAGGGTGATGATGCATTTTAGCAATCATATTGTCTCCAAACCAGCACATCTGCACTTTAAAGCCAGTTCATATTCTCAGTTTCAGATTCCAGCTGGCAGCTGTGAAAGATCAGAGATGGGTCAGGGAGGATAGTCATGAACTAACGCTCATTATGATCCGCTCAGTATGCATGACACAGCGTTTGCAGATGAGGGAGCCAGGCCTCTGCAGGTGTTCGCAGGTGAGGGCTGATTTAGATTACAGTCATGGCGTCAAGTTCACAGCTGCAGTCTGTGACTTTTGTAAGCTTGCCACCAGACAAAGACACCACCATCCCACCCACCTCTCTGGAGATCAGGTCACACGGGTTTCTCACCAAAAGGATTTCAAAGAAGCCAGTTTTTGTGTTTAGAACTCAGAGACCTTTTTGAGTGCAGTACTGATAAAGATGGAGAATGAGGTGGTAGATCTGAAGTCTGCATGTGAGGTTTTATTCTAGTCCCTGCTCTCCTCCTGCTCCCTCACTCCCTTCTCCCTCTTTTTTCCTTTCTTTCTTTGCCATTTCTTCTTCCTCCCATTCTAACTTTCCAAATACAACTCTTAGGTCCCTTCCCCCTCTCGCTTTCCTCTGGTTTCTTAATTCCAGTTCCAGATTTTTCTTACGTTTTGCTGTCAGCCACAGAGCAAGAGAAGCATGACCACAGAAGGCAGTTGGGCTTCAGCCCCACCTCCAGACGGGAGCCACTGAGGGCCACAAAACAGACGAGCTCTTCTGGAGGTGAAACAGTGGGTGGTAGAGAAGTTGAGTATGGGAGAAATATAGACAAATCTGAACTCGATTTTCATGACGGAGTGAAAAAGAAACTGAAAGACAGTGAGTTACAGACACTGCAACTTTTAGAGGAAGAGGGGAAAGGAACCGAGGACACAACTGAACTAGAGGGATATCCTAAGGAGCGAGGAATCCCCATAACCACCCTCTATTTTCTGCTACTGTCGCATTTCGGAAGGGGAGGGGGTCTCCAGATGTGTTCCCCATCCCCCCTTCAGAGGACTCCCTGTACTCTGTAATTTTGCCAGGCTAAATTGGCTCTCTCAAAAGAGCCTGTGGCAACACAGCCTTGGGCAGAAGAATATCCTGTACACAGACCAAATAGCTGTGTTAGTCTAGTCTGTCCCTGTCTGACCACAGCGAGGAAAAGATGAGGCTTTGATTTTTTCACGTTCTCTTTTAATATATTATTAAAATGACTATTGAGAGTAAATAAGTCACAACTGCGGCATGTAAAGTAAAATTAGTGAGACGGTCACATTTGTCATCACACTGTATAAAATAAATGAACAAAATAAGAAAAGTCAAAATTGTTAGATGTAGTCACAAGAAATAGTAAAATTTGTGAGACACCATGTGAGATATGAAGTCACAATAAAGAGACCCATAGTCAACTGTGTTAACTAAATAAAGCTGCAATTATGAGGGGAAAAATTGCAGTTCACAAATTTGACAAATATAACTGCAACTGTGAGACACAAAGTGGCAATTACGAGAAATGAAGTACAATTTGAGAGAAAGATTCAGACTGTGAAATAAAATCGGAAGAATTAGAAATATTCATAATTGTGAGAAGTCACAACTATACGAAAATCTAATCTGTAAGTCATATTGTAAATTATAGTCACAATGATGAAGATATAAATTCTACAAGAATTAGTAAAATATGTTGTGACAATCACATTGTGAAATATAAAGTCACAATAATGTGAAAGTCAC